CCCCCAAAAAAAAAAAAACAAAACAAGGGGGGGGGGGGGGGGGAAGAAAAAAAAACAGCCAACCAACAAAACCAACCAAACCATCCCCAAAATATGTTTTAAACGGTTTCCCAGATGCTAAGAGCTTACTTCAATCTGGCTACTTAGCTCACCCACTAAGGTCATTACATCATCTTCCAAACTCCCAAAAGAAAATAACCAAGAGAAGCTAATACTGTCTCCCCCAGCATCTCAGATCACACCATTTGTCCATCTTCCTGTTAAGCTTGGCAAGTTTGATTTCTCGTCTTTTGCTCTTGATCAAAAATAAATAAATCAGAAAACAAAACAAAGCTCAAAATACTACTGAGGTTGTGAGTAAATTCCCATCTATGAACAGAAACTAGGTAAAAAAAGAATATATCCTAATACAGAAGCAAAAATATGATCAGAAATTTTCAGGTAAACACTTTCTTTCACCCTTAAGTATCCTGTATACTATTCCAAGATTTCATTCTTTTCCTTTAACAACAGTTTTCTATTTCCTATAATATTTCATTATGAACACCAGAACCTGCATTTTCACTTCTTTCAGTTAACTCCATTCACTGCTCATGAAGGTGCAAATGCCCAGTGAAGGACCTCCTGAGGCTTGGGCATTCCTAAAAGGTTTTCCTCCTCTCTATTTTCTAGTAAGACATGCACTGCAAATTTTTCCCAGGAAGACTAGAGCAGAATTACTCCTCTCTGTTAGCTATTTCTTTTCATAAAACTCAGAATCATGTTTTCTTAGACAACTCCATCTCCTGTTACAACTGCTCACACCAGACAACATGCCACACACACAAAAAAACCCTGACTAGATCAATGTGAATATACATTGCCCATAGACATAAATCACATGAGCCTTGTCTCCACAGGAAAATAGACAAATAAGGTCCCCAGTAAAATCTAGGATCTGAAGCAACAGCATAATCAAATGGGTTTTAATAAATTCATTATTAGTAAAATAGATCTTTTAAAGAGGACATATAAAACTTAGGTGTCAAGTTAATATAATAAAAGGCTGATAGCCTTTTATGAAGACATTATCAGGTGGATGGATGGTGGCCATGCAGTGGATGTGGCCTATCTGGATATCAGTAAGGCATGTGACACCGTCTCCCACAGCATCCTCATAGCTAAACTGAGAAAGTATGGTCTGGATGGGCGGGTAGTGAGGTGGGTCGCTAATTGGCTGAAAGGAAGAAGTCAAGAGAGTTGTAGTCAAGGGAGCAGGGTCCAGCTGGAGGCCTGTGTCTAGTGGAGTC